ATGGCGGGCGGCCACCAGCACCAGCAGCTGTGGACCAGATGCACGCAGTGCCAGACATGTGAATGGAACGGGGTGCTGGCCCGCCGCCACAACATCTGCAACGGATGTGGCAATGAGGTCAAGCCGTTCGAGAAGAAGAGGAGACCGAGGCGGGTGCAGTTCGTGGATGAGTTTGGCGACAGCGACGCCGACGGCTTCTACGACGCCACCAGCGGCAGCGAGAGCGAGCGCCCGCAGCCACGGCGCCCAGGCATCTTGAAGGGCCCCGTGGGGAGCGGGCTGGGAGGCGGCAAGGGCGGCAAGGGGGGCAAGTCCGTGAAGAGCCTCCTGGAGCAGGCCCTTGCTGCAGCCACCGACCCCACGCTCAAGGCGGACCTCCAGGCGCAGCTGGACAAACTCGCCAAGGAGGAGAGCGGGCGGGAGGCCGCCAAGACCACGCCCGCAGAGGCCCTACGCAGGGCCGACGGGGCGTGGAGGAACGCGGAGCACCTCCACAGCCAGGCGGTCAGCAATGTCATTCGCCTCCGCAGCAACCTGGCAGCAGCGGAGGCGAAGGAGAGGACGGCGGCCATCCACCTGGCCGAGACCACCGAGGCCAAGCGTGCTGCAGCCACGGCATTGGCCAAGGCCGAGGGGGTCACCGAGGCCAAGACCAGCTCCGATGGCGAGAAGAAGATCATCTCCCTCGAGTGGGACGACAGCTTCTTCACGAATCTGGCGGCGCTGGACGCCACGGACGCGGAGAAGAAGGCCCTGGAGGAGCTCCGAGGCCAACTGCAGGGCGCCAAGGAGACTCTCACGGGCAAGGAGGCCGAGATCCAGAAGTGGTTGGAGGCCATGCAGCAGCATCGGCGCACCATCGAGGAGCGGGCGAAGAAGAAGAGACGTGCACCTGCTGACGGCGCTCCTGAGGAGGCGGCCACGGCGGACGGCGGCGGGGGCCAGGGGGCACCTCCCGCTGCGGCGGCATCGGCGGCAGGGAACTCCACAGGCGGCGGCGGCGGGGCGGCGGCGGCAGCCGAACCTTCAGACGCCGTCAAGGCGGAGGCGGAGAGGCTGTCGGCGGCCAAGTTCCTAGCGCAGCAGACCGTGACGAAGGCGAAGGGCAAGGGCACCGCCAGTGGTGACGCAGCTGGGGCGCCTGCAGCTCCCTCAGCTTGACGGTGTCGAACGGGGGCCCCTCGGACCCACAAGACCGAGGGGGCGGGCTGTGACGAAGGGGAATGCACTAGGCTATTCTATTCGAACGTCACATGCCTAACGGACAAGGTATGGAAGTACGTACAGGAGCACGTGGGAGCCTACGACCACTGGGTCATGACTGAGACTCACATTCATCGCGAGTCGGACGTCAAGAAGTGGACAAAGGCAAGCCGAGCTCTCAATCTCCGCATGATCATGAATTCGGCTCGCCGCACCTCGAAGGTAGTGTCCAAGGCTAGGGAGGCACACTCGAACGAGGGAGGCGAGATGATTTTGTCCCGCAAACACTTACAGATCCAGCAGCTGCCCGAGGCGAGGGCGGCCGCCAAGTACCTCAAGGCGCCGAAGCAGTCGGCCTACGACGGATTCTGCCCAGTGATACTGCAGCAGCACAGCTACGCGATCGTGGTGGTCGCCCTGTACGCGCTGCCGTCCATCAAGATGACGGGCAGGAACATCGAGAGATTCAACCGACTCGGAGGGCTACTACGTTCACTCCGTGTCCCGTGGCTGATCATCGGTGACTTCAACATGACGCCAGACGAGCTCATGCGCACGGCCTTCCACAGAGTGACGGGAGGCCACGTGCGAGTACCAGCTGGAGTTGAGGGCACCTGTGCCCAGAAAAAAGGACCTGACACAATGATCGACTTTGTCTATATGAGCGCTGCCGCGTCCTCATTCATCCATAGTCTGGAAGTAGTCAGAAGAGTCCCGTGGAAGCCTCATCTCGGGCTAGCCTTGAGCCTACGTGCTTCAGGCCAGACCCTTAGGACGCGTGAGATTTCTCTGCCCCCGAAGTTGCCCCAACTCCCGAGGCCCCGGTGCGAGCCCACTCCTGGATCTAAGTCCAGCCAGGCCAGGTCCGCTGCGGCTGTTAGACGCCAGGAAGCTCACGCCAAGAGGGTCGAGGGGTTCCAGGAGGCCTTCGGGGACGTTTTGGAGCCTCCCGCACAAACTGGGACTGCCCGTCCTCAGGTGATCGAGGAGGCCGATCAGGATCCTGATCTGGACCACGAATTTGTTGCGTTCCCAGAGGACGAGGAGGACCCCTGGGCCCACGAATTTAATTTTTGTCCTGACTCACACCTAGGTGGCGAGCTGTTGTCCGATGGATCGGGTGCGGTCGGCGCATCGGCCGTCGGGGACAAAAAGCCCGATACAGTCAATGTGAGTGTCAGTGTCAATTCGTCGGTATGCGAGGCCCAACCCCTTTCCCCCTCGGCGGTTTTAAGTAACCCCGTTGTTGGCAGCAAAGACGGTAATAGTAGTGCTCAGTTGCATCGCCCCGACCCCCCCCAGCAGGTAGCTCCCTCGTGCCCCGTGGTCGAAGATGTGCCCGACCCTTCGTTTGAAATTCCAGCGTCCACGTGGGCCGAGGCTCGACTGCAGGTGGGCTTTCGGTCGGGAGCGGATGCCGTGGCGAGTCTCTCCCCTTTCCTGTCCTCCTCCGTAGCCTTTTCGCTCGAACCCGCTCGCGGAAAGCTCCTCACGGGGCAGTACGCGACGTGGGTCACGGCGGTCGAGCAGGCTTTCCATACTCACCATCATGTCAGGCCCCCTGCTGGGCCCACGCGCGCCGTGGGGCCCAGGATCCATGAGAAGCCCATGAGGGTCACGGCTCACGTGCGGGAGCTCGCCCTTCATGATCAACGTAGCCAGTGGTGGACCCGCGTCCACACGGTGCTCGCTGGAGTCCTCAGGCACCAGAGCAGGGACAACGGTCAGCGCCAGCAGCAGGAGTACGGCAAGGCCAGCGCCCACCTACGGCAGTCCAGGCCCGAAGGGGTGCATAGCCTTCTGAACGCGGGCCGTGAGGCCCCGTGGGACCAGTGGTTGGCTGTCCTCGGCGACCCGAGTCGGCTGTCGACCCCAGTGCTGGAGAATTATGTCGTGGCAGCGAAGCGGGTGGCCAGCAGGGCTCAGCGCGCGGCAGTCCATGAGTCGATGTCCAGCTTTAAGACCTTTGTGACGCGACCAGAGGCCGTGGGCATCCTCCACAAGTCTCTGAAGGTGAACCCACTACCGCCGAGCGAGCTGGAGGTCGGGGAGCGCACCCTCGTTCACCCAGCTGACATCATGGAGCACAAGGCGGTGACTTTCAAGAGGATGTGGGCCCCACGGCCCCCCGACGTCAGCGAGATTACGGAGGTGTTTCGTCTCATTCGAGAGGCGGCCCAGGGCGAGGACCTTCCTGAGCTTACCCCAGACCTGGTCTACGCCAGCGCCAAGGCCATGAAGGCTAAGGCAGGGCTGGGGGTGGACGTCCTGAGCCCAGTCGACTTCCAACGCCTCCCTCGTGAGGCCATCGAGGAATTCACAGATATTCTGAAGAACGCAGAAGCCCTGCTCGCTTGGCCAGCCCAGACTCAGCTCATTGTGACCTTCTTGACTCCCAAGAAATCCCAGGGGGACAGAGGCATAGGTATGATATCTATGATGGGCCGCCTCTGGTCCCACATCAGGGAACCTATCGTGAAGCAATGGAGCAAAGATCAAGAACAGGCATGGGATGCCGCAGTTGCTGGAAATAGTTGTTTGCGTGAAGCATATCTTCATGCCATTGACGAGGAAGTTGCGCACTGGATGCGAATGGAGTTCGGGCAAGGTTTGCTTGACATTCAAGAATTTTACGACTCAATACCTTGGCTGCCCCTGGTGAGGGCGGCTTTGAGGCTTCATTTTCCACCTGTCATCTTATATTTGGAGCTCCTCCAGTGCATAACGATGCGGACGTTGTCACAGGAAGGAGCTGTGTGCACACCCTTCGAGCCCTGCCAGTCAGTCATCCAGGGGCTGCGAGGGGGAACCAGATTCGCCAAGATACTCACCCATTTCGTGATGCAGGTGGTGGTTACGGCGACGCCCAGGATGAACCATCGAGTTTGGATAGATGATATATGCCAGAAGATCACGGGCTCACGCCAGGCTGTCAGGGCTAACCTTATACGCGGAGTTGTGAAGGCGGGCCAAGAGCTAGCCAAGGCAGGCCTCAAGTTGGCCAAGAAGTCTATGATCATGTGCACGAATCCCGACGACGCCCGCGCTGTGGCCAGGGCCGCCAGGCTCAAGGGTTTCCCAGTCAGGGCCATGGCGCAGGCGCCGTACTTGGGGGTGGACTTCAGCTGCGGCAAGCTGGGACGTGCCACCAGGACGCAGAGACAGATCAAGCACGGAGCGATGAACGAGAAGGTGAGGAGATTCAGCCGAGCCACTCGACGGTATGGGATTACGACGCGGTTGGAGCGCAATGGCTGCCAACCCGCGGGCTCCTACGGCTTTGAGGTGCACGGGATGTTCGGCCACCAGCTGACAACCCATCGCCGCCGACTCGGTCAGACCTGTGCTGCTGCCACAAGAGGCCGATGCCTCACTACCCTCCTGGACCTGAGAGCGCCAGGTGGGGGCCCTGCCGTGGCGATGCCAGCCAAGACCGTGGACATGTGGCTCAGCGTCTGGCAGCAGCAACCAGGTTTGCGCCAGCGAGTACGACAAGTATGGCATCATGTTCGAGACCACCTATCCCAGCTGGATCCCCAACATCAGGTGCGTGCAGTGCGTGGCCCTGTGTCCGCAGTAATCCTCACCCTCCTCCGCATCAAGTGGAACCCTGAGGATGTGGACACGTGGTCGTACACTACGCCCACGGGGTCGGAGCAATGGCAATTTCCAGACGCCATATACACGGGCAATAAGTTTCTCGACACACACCGTGAGCTGTTGAAGGATGTACGTCAGTCGGCGGCCCAGGTGGTATGGACCGCGGCTGCCAAGCACTACTGCGGAGGTGGAGTCGAGCAGGGAGTTGACAATCGGTCATTTCGGCTGTTGATCAAACAAGTCGGGCAACTCCCACACGGTGTGCGTCTCACTGAGCTGCTGGTCAATATTGCCACAGGTGGATATTGGACGCGACAGAGACGATATGATGAATTGAAGGGCTATAAGGGCAGCAACTTGTGTGACCGCTGCCGAGAGGCACCAGATACGGCCAAGCACAGATTCTGGCAGTGTAGCAAGAACGTGCAGGCTGCGCCATATGAACGCTCAGAGTCTTTGGTTCCAGCAGCGATGGCTCAGACGGACGCCACCGAGTGCTTCTGGCTACGTGGACTGCTACCGACCCAGTGGACCCAGACCCCGCCCCCACCGAAGGACACGGTCCTTGAGTTCACGGGCATCAACGAGTTGTCCGAAGGGATCTTTGGGGCGGGGAGTGC